CAGGTTGAGAACCGCTGCTCTAGGGGAATGGAGAGGGCCAGGGTGACAGATGACCTTACAGATGCTTGACCAGAAAATTCCATACTGGTTGATTAAGATTTAATGTTTCTGGGAAAGGTTGAAATTAAGTTACATCGGGTATTACATCTAGGTTTGGTATCGAGGACTTCCAGTATGAGTGACATTATTTGGGGCCATGGTTTTCTGCTTAACACCTGATTATCTCATAAGTGAAGGCTCCCCGTCACCTCCAGGTGTGTGGCAGGCTGTTAGGCAGACATGAGCACAGCAAGAACAATGGCCAGGTACACACAGAAGGTCACCAGGTTGGAAAGCCCTGAGTGCCTAGCAATGGGCAAAACTGGGAAAACAAAGACCTTGCCCCAAGGTAACCTTTCCTCCCCTGGCATACCGCTCGTCATGCGGGTTAGACCCCCTGACCTTTCATATCGCTGGTCATGTGGTTTGGACCACATGCCACTAGTCAAGTGGTAGATCCCCTTAGAGGAGGAACAAGGGGGCCTGGAAATAGCCTCGTGTGACCCCCCCCCCCCCACACACACACACACACAGAAGCCCCTGCCCAACCAATCCCTTAAGCATTAAGCCCTAGAGATGACATCTAGGCCTCAGCTATGTTTCAGCTCCAGGCCCAGAAAAGCAGCAAAACCAGAGGGACTACACCACAGCTGACCAGCTGCATTGATTAATGACTCCCTCCCCTAGCACTGACAGATCAGTGGAAGCCAGGAGCCCTGGAAAGCTAATGAATATTCCACTGAGACCCTCCCTGGGACCGTCCTGAACGCTCCACCTCTGGGGAGCGGATAAAAGCCTTCAAGATAAAGAACCCAATCCGAGTTCTCTTTAGAGAGCAGGGGCCACCTTTCCCCGCCCCCTCCCCCCAGGCACGTTTTCCTTGCCTTTCTCCTAAACTCCAAGAGCCCTTCCTTTGCCTCTGTAGCTTGTTCCTGACCCCATTTCTTCTACAGCTCACTTCTACCTCTGTGACTTTCTAAGTGACCTCTCTCTATAGTTTGAGTCTCGGCTCAGAATTCTTAGCCAGAACTCAAGTACCAATTGCTAAACCGAGGTCCATCTGACTCTAACAGTCTAACACCTGGTGCCGTTTTCACCACCAACAGTTGGCGCCAAGCTCGCTACTGGGGCAACCCAGGCTGGCTCACCTCCCAGAGCACCCCTGTTGGTGTAAGTAGCTAGACATGGTTGAGTTGGATGGCCTGGGGAGCTGAACCCAATGGGGCCTGCTTTACTAGGCAGTTGCAGCATTGCCCCACCAAAGGGCTTCACACCCTCCCTCCCCCGGCTTTTCAATCTCCCAGGGTGCAGTCGGTCCACTCGCCCAGACTTTGGGGTGCGGGCGGAGGAGTGAACAGTAAAGGGGAACTTCCTCTGCTGGGTGCATGTGCAGTAGAAGCCACGCTGGCACAGGGGAGGCGCTCCCACTAGGAGGCGTGGGCAGCAGGAACTAAGGGGCAGAGCTTAGCTGGGGAAAAAGGATCAGATTGGATGAGGGAGACAGACCCCAGAAGATCTAGGAAATGGGTTGTGAGGGGAAGCACCCCACCCACGCACAGGAGGGATTGGGAAATGGACGGGTTATTTCGAAAGGGGGCCTGGTCCTTCCCAAGCCCCAGATAATATAATCCCAGCTTAACAAAGAGCATGCGCGCTCTCTGCCATAACACGCGCTTGGCCGTGCACTCACGTGCTCTCTCTACATAGCGGGCACCTGGACCCAGCCGCTGCCTGGGGTCTGGCAGCCACGCGGACTCCAACTGCGGACTCCAACTGCGGGCCTGGGCGCAGCACCAGCTGAAGCACCGCCGGGAGCGAGCGGACTGAGCCGGCCTGATGGGGACAGCACGGCCTGGCACGGAAGTTCTGGACGCCGTATGTCTGGGCCCTATGTCTGGGCCGGTGCAGACCATACTGGACTTTGCCACAGGGGGCATGGACCTGAAGCCGGGACAGGCCTGCTCCAACTTCAGTAAACCTGTGGACAAAAGGGGCCACATGCTGACCTGACAAGCTCAGGGGAGGCCTGCGTGGCGGTCTTGCAAACTCAGAGACCTAAAGAAACCACAAAGGATGGTCTGAAATTAAACTTTATCGTGTTAATTGATCCTGCATCCACCTAAGTATGAGTCCATCATTTTACTTTTTATCCAATCCCAGGGGTTTCCCCTGCTTTGCTTGATCCCTCCTCCTTAATCTGTCACCAATGAATTTCATGTAACCCACCTACGTCTCTTCTTTGATTGCAAATGTATAAATACAAATGTAACCCCGCCATTCCCCGGAGCATTATCTCAATTCATTGAGGTTCTGCTTCCCGGCATATGTCGACAGTTTGGCTCAAATAAACTCACAAAAATTCTTTACAGGTTTCAATGGTTTTTTTTCGTTAACAAACCTTACCACTCACCACATCCTCCCACGCACGGTCCCCAGAATGCTTTTCTTACACCACCGCCAGGACCCCATTTCCAACGGCAACACCTCCACTTACCACCCGGTGAACCGGTCACACTGCGCTGCTCATGTCCCCCAAGCAAGCCCCTGGTCTTCCTTCCCTGGCCTCTGACCCTCATGATTCCCCAAGTTCTCCATGACTCCCCTGAAAGTCACCCCACCCAGCCAGGTGGTCGGGGCTCCTCCTCTGAACTCTTAACTCCCTGTGTCTCTTTAACCCATCATGCCCCCCACACTGGGCCCTGACATTGGTGCACCCTTACAGGCTGGGCCCCTCCAGCAGCACCACCTCCATACACCCCCCATTTCTTCTCTCCCACCATCGGTCATGGGCAGCAGGTGGGTCCCCAGAGCCTAGCACCGTGCTAGGCACAGAGTAGGGCTCAGAACCTTAATTGGTTGTCTGTCTCCGGAGGAGATGTGTCACTGGCAGCCTGGAGTCTGCCTCAGAGCTGTTCCTCCTGCCAAAAGCCAGAGCTGGATCAAGTCCCTCTTCCCTAAGACACAGCGGGCAGAGCCCTCAGAACCCAGAGAGGAGCGTGCTGCATCCTTGGGGATTGGGGGCTGGCGGGGGGAAGGGCAACACACACCCTACTGGGAGGAAAGACCAGGCCCCTATCCCCACTCTGCTGCTGACCCACTCCTCTTCCCTTAGCTGAAAAGGGGGGAGATGCTGCCTCCCCTTTAAGAGTGTCTCCATCTAAATAAACAAGCAACTCTAATACAAAGGCTGTTTGCCCAGCCAGGGTGGTTCAGTGATTGAGCCTCGACCCCTGAACCAGGAGGTCATGGTTCAATTCCCTGGTCAGGGCACAGGCCGGGGTTGTGGGCCTGAACTCCAGTAAGGGGCAGCCAATCAATGCTTCTCTCTCATCAATGTTTCTATCTCTCTCTCCCTCTCCCTTCCTCTTTCTGAAATCAATAAAAACATACTTTATAAAATAAAAGGCTGTTTGTACATGGAGAAGCATTCTCAACTGTGAGATCTAAGTTCTGGATTTTTCTTTCAAAAAGAGGTTCGTCCAGCATTGGTGTTAAATACTATAACCCCTCAAAAGTCACCATCCCATTGTAAGGCATCCAGGTACACTGTCCTCACCAATGTCGCCATCCATCTTTTAATTGTCAAATCTGGCGGCACTGCCCTGACCGGTTTGGCTCAGTGGATAGAGCGTCGGCCTGCGGACTGAAGGGTCCCAGGTTCGATTTCAGTCAAGGGCATGTACCTTGGTTGCGGGCATATCCCCAATGGGGGGTGTGCAGGAGGCAGCTGGTCGATGTTTCTCTCTCATCGATGTTTCTAACTCTCTATCCCTCTCCCTTCCTCTCTGTAAAAAATCAATAAAATACATATTTTTTTTAAATCTGGCGGCACTTTGCTGACCTTACGGAACTCTGCTCCCGGCATAACTGACCACCCTTTCTTCTTGAAGTGATCTTTGCGTTCGCTCCTGGGACCCTTTCCACCCTCTTCATTCTGTCCCACTCTTCTTGACCGCTTCCCTGGTTCCCCGTGGTCTGCGTCCACTCCTCTCTGTGCCTTAGACAGGAAATGATGCCCACATCCTTGTCTTTGGTCCGGAGCCCCGTACCCCTATGTTTAGTGTCCTCCTGGGCAGCTCCTGGGGGATGACCCACAGCTCAGGACTCCACCGGACCTGAACCAAACTCCCAACTTGCTCCCCACTCCCAGGCTCCCTCCATTTGCCAGTCATTCATTCTTCTATCTAGATTCTAGACACTCTCACCCGCATACATACACCTGAATCAGTCCCCAGGGGCCCTGCTGATTTCTCTGTGAACCTCTGCAAGCTGAAGTCCTTGTGCCCATTACAGGTGATTTTTGGACTCATTTAAACTCCAGGGAGCTAGAGTCGGGACAGTCTCTAACTTCCTTCCCCTGCCAGGGCCCCCGGACATCCTCTGCTGGAGACGGTAACTCAATCTCTCCCCATGGACTTGTTGCCCCAGGCGTGACCTGCATGGCCCAGGCCAGCAGCATGCCAGGCCGATCGGTTTATCTCAGGTAGATAGACTATCAGCCACAATCTGGGTGGAAGAAAAAGTCAGCTCCTTAGGCAGACCTAATCTGTCCTTGTCACCAGCCCTGGCCAGATCTTCTTGACTCCCTAGGGCAGGGCTGAAAGAGGAAAGGACAATCCACCTGCCTCCTTTACAAATGGGGAACCAGGGCCAGAGAAGGGAAGGCGCTTGTTGTAGGTCTCTAGATCCCTGGTTTCCCAACTCCCAGGCAGGGCAGATAGGCCGGGGGTGGGGGCTCGGGCCAACATCCTCGGCTGCCTCTTCATGTGCTCAAAGTTCATATTCAGGGTGACAGGATTTTCTGCTTGACCCGTTAAGATCCTGGGAGGGAGAGGGAAGAAGAGGAGGGTGGGGAGGGAGGAGGAGCTCCACCCTCCACAACTGCCTGAAGGAGCTGCCCTGCCCTGGATAGAAAAAGGTGCTCCTGGGAGCTCCTGCCTCCCACCCAATCCCAGCTGCAGAGCACTTGGGACTCTGGGCCGCGAGGAGTTGGGAGACACTCTCCAGAGAGGGCTGCCATGGCCTGCAAGAAGTGCTCAAACAAGTGGAGCCTCGCCGGCGTTGCCAGTGTGATCCTCGTGTGTGCCATCGGATTGGTCCTGGGCTACATGATGCTGGGGGTCAGCCAGCCAGGTAGGTCCCTCCCCACCATGCCATTAGCTTAGCTCCCCTCATCGCTCACTCCTTGTCCCCACCAAGGCAGATCCAACCTGTCCTCGTCACCCACCCTCCTGGTCCTCAGCCACAGCCGTGATGGCCTTCTCTCCCATCCCACATCCCCACCAAGATTCAGCTCCATTTGCCTCTCCCATTCCCAACCACCCCAAGACCTCTCCCCTGAAGAAGGTTCCTTTGGCCTTCTTTCCCTCCCTCCTTCACCAGGCTTCCGTTGCCTGAAAATCACACCAAATCTTGGTCTTCAGCCCAGACCACTTCCCCCGCGCCCCATCCCGGTGCCCCCAATAGGCATTCCTTCCTAGCGGTGATGCACCGGTTTGGCTCAAACGGTGCATTGAGCCAAATTCACCCTTTCCCCCTGGGAGCAGCCTCCCTCCTCCTTCTGCCTCAGGCCTTTCTTCTCAGGCCCTTCACCTTGAGGCATCTGCCTTCTCCCTCCATGGGCTGCCTACCACCTTACCTTCCCAGGCTCCTGCCTTCCCAGGCTGCCGGCTCCTCCCGGGCCCCTGAAGTGGCCTGCTCCCTCCCACACGGTCTCTGCCACCAGGGAGACCTTTCTAAACACAGAACTCACTCGCTGCCCTCAGCGCACGCCCAACTCCTTTGCTGTCAGTCAAGGCCATTTACAACCTGATCACAAAGCTTTTTATCACTCTTGCCGCTTCCTTTTCTCTACCTTCCACCTGCACCAAGCCAAAGTTCAGTCCTTCAGGCGGCCCTATTCCTACAGTCAAGCCTTTGCTTCTAATGTCCTGTGCCCCATCCATGTTCCCTTCTCTGTAAATTTCTTGACTGCCCCAGGCTGGTTCGGAGCCTCCTTGCACCCAGGAGCCCACGGACTTCCCTCTCCCGCAGCACTGGTGACTGGGGTCCCACTGTCTGCTAGCTGGCATGCTGGACACACCCTGGAGCCCAGAGAGGGAGGGTGGGGGAGTGGACAGGGGTCCTGTGGCTAACATCACCTTGGCCTTCCTTCTAGGCTGTAAGGAGGATGCAGTTTGTCGCCCAGATGCAGACATGCTGGACTACTTGCTGAGCCTGGGCCAGATCAGCCAGCGGGATGGCCTGTTGGTCACCTGGTACCATGCTGCCAACAGCCAGAAGGACATGAGGGCTGCCCTGGAAAGTAAGTCCAGCTGTGAGGACGGAGACAGGCCGGGGCAGGAGTGGGGGAGATGGAGGTGTTCCCCGAAAGGGGACCTGGCCCTTGGTGTGTCTGCCTAGGTCGGCCAGTAGTGTGTGGGTTCTTTGTGTGTGTGTTAATCCTCACCCGAGAATATTTTTCAATTGATTGTTAGAGAGAGTGGAAGGGAGGGGGAGAAACAGAGAAACATCGATGTGAGAGAGACACATCGATTGGTGGCCTCCTGCAACCGAGGTACATGCCCTTGACCAGAATTGAACTCGGGACCATGACTCCACGGGCTGGCGCTCTATCTACTGAGCCAAACCAGCTAGGGCAGTGTGTGGGTTCTTGCCATAGTGCAGGAAGCGTTTCACAACACGAGTCCAGGTGAATTTTAGAGGACGTCTATTAAAGCTGGGGGCAGCGAAACAGGAACCGGCTGGGGACATGAGTCTAGGCTGGTCTGCTTTGGCTCCCCAAGAAGTCAGAGGAAAGGGGCTTTGGGGACACTGCTCCCCTGGTGGCAAGCCTCGTGGGGTCCCTTAGAGCTTAGGAGACGCATGCCGGTGGGGGAGGAGGTGTCCCTGGTTTAGGGAAGGTAGGATTCACTGCGTGGCTGCAAACTGCTTGTTTAACTACCATCTGTTTCCCTACTTCTGGTCCTGGCTGACGGGCCTGTCTCAGGGAGAGCAGAGGTGGGGGTTAGACAGCACTGCCTAACCCGTGGCACGATGGTGGCTACTCACCTGGCTTGTCAGACCGGGGAGTGGGGGCTCAGAGGTGAAGGGACTGGCTCAGGCTGTGCAGCTGATAAGCTCTGAGCTTCGGGCTTAAACCAGAAGTCTGATTCCAAAGTCGTCATGTCCTGCCCTCCCTCCCTGCTACCCCTCCCATGACCGTCAGTGACAACTGTCCCTGCTGAGGAGGCCTTTGCCCTCAATGCCTAAGGAAACCAGAAAACGTGTGCTTGAGGCCCAGCGCTACCAAGCTGTAAAAACCCGAGCAAATAGTGCAGCTCCTCCGAGTCTCCAATGGAGAGTGATTATGGCAGCCCGTCAGCGGCGGCTCACTGTAGGGACGGGCACACACGTGCCACATGGGTTCTCCTGGATCTGCAAGCAGTTTCATGGGTACCATGTGGCAAAAGTAAAAAGGAGGCTCAGAAACGTTGGGTGACTCACCCAGGGTGACACCAACATAGGAACCCAGAGTGGTTGGCCCCACACTCCTGGCCGCTGCACTACGCCCAACCCAGTTCAATAAGGAAGAAATAAAACTAAAACAGTAACCACCCAAAATGAAAGGCATGGCCCTCAGATTGGAGCATGCTTCAGAAGACGCGGATTGCTGACCCCACCCCAAGCTTCTGATTCAGTGAGTCTGGGGTGGGCTCTGAGAATTTGCATTTCGGATAAGTTAGTTCCCAGGTGGTGCTGATGCTGCCGGCCCCAGAACCACCGCTCAACCAAAATCTCTCCATTTCAGAAGAGGAAACTGGGGTCCAGAGTGGGAGGCAGTCTTGTCCAAGGTCACACAGAACCAGGTGTAGGCACCAGGACTCTAGCTCTTAATCCTATAGGGTCACCACGCCAGAGGGCCTGGGTGTAAGTGCCTGGGAAAAGCTTGCTGAGTGAATGAATGGTTAGGGAGCACTTCTTGGAGGAGGCAGGCGTGGTGGAGAGGAAAGGCCACCGCAGGCTGGGAAGAGCCAGTTTGCTGTGCTTCAGGAATCTCCTCTGGTTAAAAGGCAGATTGCCAGGCCTTGGTGATAAGAAAAACATCCCTCCCGCTGATGAGAGAGCCAGGCCGAGAGGGAGGACTCCTATCTGGGAGATAAGACCTGGGGTGAACAGGACTCACCACCCCTGGGCTCATCCCATGTCAGCCCAAGGGCAGCTGACAGACCCAGCCCTACCAAGCTGTGACATTGGCCAAGAAGAAAGCCAAGGGCCCCACCCAGGCAGTGCCAACAGCTCAGAAGCGTGGAGAGGCACCTTAGCATAGCTTCAGGGGTCCAGCGAGGACCCCAGGCCTGGCTTCTTCCTGAGGGCCCTGTGGTGGGCCCCCGGGAGGAGGGCGGTGCCACCATGGGGGTGGGCATCCTGATAGAGAGCCAGTGGTAGGGTTAAACTGGTGAAGTCATCTTAGACATGACCAACGTCCATGCGGAGAGGAGGGGCCAGAGTGAAGGCCTGGGAGGCAAGACAACTAAATTCAAATTTTACCTTGGCTCTTTACCAGCGAAGTGATTCGGAATAAGTGACTTCACTTGCCTGCAGCTCAGTTTTTCCCTCTACAAAAGGTGTCTTGGTAGGAGGACTGCATCATTTATCATTCCAACCAGGGCACTTCGGATAGCGGAAGAGATCATTATTAATTATGCAGTCCTAGCCGGTTTGGCCAGTGGATAGAGTGTCAGCCTGCGGACCGAAGGGTCCCACGTTCGACTCCTGTCAAGGGCACGTACCTTGGTTGCAAGACCCTCCTCGGCCCGGGCCCTAGTCAGGGTGTGTGCAGGAGGCAACCAATCTGTGTGCTTCTCTCACATTGATACTTCTCTGTCTTTCCCTCTCCCTTCCACACTCTCTAAGGATTCAATGGAAAAATATCCTCGGGTGAGGATCAAAAAAAAGAAAAAGGATTATGCAGAGGGAACAGAAATATACTAGACTATCCCAGGCAAACAGGGACATGGTGTCACCTAGTTAAGTGAGCTACTCCATGTAAATAATAATTAACACTCAGTGAATGCCTAACCAGGGATATTTTATTGTCTAATTCTAGTAAATGAGAAGGAGATACAGAGAGGTCAAGTAACCTGAGAGGTCAGGCTCACACAGCTCTGCAAGTAACAGCTTTTAATGATAAGGGAGGTTTTTCCAGGAGGAAGCTGGACCCAGGTGGCAATCACAAGGAGACGGGTTAGGGCTACAATGCACTCCCCATCCGTTCTTAGTCCACTTTGCTGAGCATTTGCTGGGCCCCTGCTCTGGGCCAGTCTCAGGAGGAAGACTTAGAAGTAAGAGGTGGCCCTGTCTGTAAGGGGCTCACAGTGTCACAAGGGAAGCAGCTAGTGCAAATCAGGGAGGCAGCAGCGGTCCAGACTCCAGTTCTGGCTCCCTCCCGATGCACCCCACCGCCCCCAGATGAGAACTGGCCAGCTAGATGGGGTAGGAGACCCCTCAGATCCATTGGCTTGTGTACCCTTGTATCTGCCCCGCTGTCCCGGTGGACCCGGCTTCTCTGGGCCTCACTGGAGGCCAACCCTTTGGACCTCTCTGTATTCCCAGGAAACCAAAGTTATTTGTGTTTAAGCCATACAAATTAAGGCTACCCTCACGAAGCCCCTCAGTGTACAATGTGGTTTTCTGTCCGTGTCCTGTGTTCGTGGCCTGGGGAGGCTCATCCCCATTATGCCAATGAGGGAACCAGGGAGACGGGAGCTCTGGGCAGGATGCAAAACGGGATGAAAGCGGGTGATGCGAAGTGCCAGGCTTGGTGCCAGGGACCATCCGCACTCGGCTGCTTTCCCTTCCTGGAAACTTACCGAGATTCTATTTATTTCCTTTTAATTTTATTTTATCGTTTAAAGTATTACAAATAGTACATATGTCTCCTTTTTCCCCCCTCGTTGACCTCCCCCTCCCTCCCCAACCCCCCGGCACATGCCCTCACCCCCCCCCCGAGTGTCTTGTGTCCATTGGTTATTCATGCAAGTCCTTCAGTTGACCTCTTACCTCCCCCCTCCTGCAACCCTCCCCAGCCTTCCCACTGTAATTTGACAGTCTGTTCGATGCTTCTCTGCCGCTGTATCTATCTTTTTGTTCATTAGGTTATAATGTTCTTTATTATCCATAAATGAGTGAGATCATGTGGTATTTTTCTTTCTCTGACTGGCTTATTTCACTTAGCATAATGCTCTCCAGTTCCATCCATGCTGC